TTAATTTTACCCTTTCATTTTTATTTTTTTGCAAGTAAAACTACCGGGGATGTTGTTGCCCAACCTAGGTGGGAAAACTTTGATGCTCCTGGTGTTTGGACCAAATTTCCTTGCTACACCAATGTCAGGGGGTGGTTTTCCCCCCCAGCAGGTGTTTTCCCTTAAAACCTTTGGGCGGGGTCCCCCTTTATCCCAGGCAAGGACTCCCGACAAAATGTAAATAGTTACTTTTTTACCAAAAATATTTTTTCATTAATTAAAATAGGCCTAGCCATATGTTGTACAGACGTTCATGATTTAAAATTTTTTTGTTTAGTTGGCCCTTTAATACACTGGCCATCTCCCATTAGGTAGTGTGGCCCGAAAAAGGAAAAACTTTCACTGTCAATCAGTCAAACTCTGTCCCTTTCCAGAAGCATGTAAAAATCACAGTTCAGTGGCTTTTGGGCTGAAAATCCCCACCCCAATGTACTTCCCACCTCCAGCTAACCCCGTTTTTCCCCGAGTCACTTTATAAGTTTTATTTAATCATTTTTCCGCATCATTTTTTTTTTTTTTAAAAGTCGGGCCCTTTCCCACCCAGGGCCCGGTGACCCAATAAAGAAAGAAAATCCCCCAAAAAAAAATACTTTTTTTCTATTCCCAAAACTTTCACCCCCAAACAAAAACACTTTTTTTGCAGAGGTGCCCCAGATTCCCCATAAAAATTTCTCTTTTCTGTGTTCACTTTCAACTTTTACCTTTACACCCCACTCCAAACTCATTTCCCCTAAACCCTTTTCAATTTTTTCCCTTTTGAACCTCCAAAAGCACCGTATCATCAGCAAAAAAAATAAAATTTTTGGGCCCAAATTTCCCCTTTTGTAATTTTATTCCCCATAATTTAATTTCCCACCCCCCCTCCCGAAACCCTAGCATTTACTTCTTTTACAAAATCCTCTTTAAATAATTTTTAAAAAACCACGGGACATTACAAAATCCCTGTCTAAAAACCTACTTTTAAACCCGGGGGAAAATTTTCCCTCTCTTCTACACACCCTAACCTGAGCCCCACAAACCTCATAAAAGCCCCTTTTTTTAGGGATTTTGTAAATTAAACCCCCTATTCCATATAATTCCAAAAATTGCTTCCCCCACTTCTCTATCATATGCCCCTTTTTTAAATCAAAAAAATGCAATAAAAAACCCCCAAACCCATAAAGCTTCAATGTAAACACTTGACTTTCACACCCCTACCCACTCTAAAACCTCCCTTTTCATCTTTCAATCCAAAATTCGGGCTTGCCTCTAAACCCCTTTCCGTAATAAACCCCACTGTACACTTTTTCCTGGGATCCCCAGTAAACTTATTCCCCCTATAATTTTTTTCAATCTCTTTTGTCCCCCCTTTCCCTTTTTATAAAGGGAATAAAACATTTCCCCCCCATCCCTAGGGACCTTCCCCTTTCACTACAAATTTTTTAAACAAAAAAAACAAAAAACCCCTCCAACACTATTCCCCCCCGCTTTTAACATTTTTTGTTTATGACCCCAAACCGTTCCGTTTTTCTTTAAACCCCCCCTTTAAGCTATGTAAAAGCCTCACGCACCCCTCCCCCCCTCACATCCATCTCTTCTTCACTCCCACAAGAGGTAAACCTCCCCCGGCCAGGGCCCGAAATTTAATGGCCCCCCTTTTTTTTCATTTAAAATTTTAAAGTTTCCCCAAAAAATTCTTGCCATCTTTCCCCAATCCCCCCACTAAACCCCTCTACTAAAATCTCCCACTTGTTTTTTTAAATGAAATATCCATTTGTTTTCCCCAGGGTTTCTTTAAATTGTTTTTTAAATTTCTCCAAAAAATTTTTTCTTTTTTTTCATTAAAAATTTTTTGACAGTGCCTCTCCCAGTCTATCATCTGCTCTCCTTTTTCACTCTCACCACTCCTTTACCTTTCCCTTTTTTTCTCCATTTACTCTTTCTTCGTATAAACTTCTGCTTTGAAAAAAAACCCCTTTATAAACTACCTTTTTTTCTTTTTTCACACCCCTTTTTCTTAAACATTCCCCCAATCACTCCTCTTTCCTCCCGCCCCCAACCCTCCTAAAACCACAAACTTCTGCCCCACTTCTAATTTCTGTTTTTAAAAACCCAAGCCAACCCTCTTCAAAAACCCCTTTCCCCCCCCTTACTCTAAATTTCACCAGCCCACCTTTCTGCCAAAATTTTTTCTTATTTTTTATTTTATTTTCACACTGGGCCCATTCCCACCCCAAAGGGAGGGGGGCCCCCAAAAAAAAAAAAACTTTCACCCCTCCCTTTTACTTTCCCTCACTTTTCTTGCCCGAAAGGGGGCTTTAAAACAAGTTTTTTAAAATTCAAAATTTTAAAAACCCCTTTCCCTTCCCGAGTGGGAGGCACTGTACTTTTCCCCTCTCCAGGACCCCAAAAATCCCGGCCCGCCGGTTTCCCCAAACCCCCCATAAATGTTTTCTTTGGGTCACACTCCAAAAGCACTTCAAGTATTAAAAACCCTTTGTCTCATTCACTCCTTTCAAACCCCCTCATGCATGCCTGCTGGAAATCCAAGCCCCTCGCACACAAAACCCCCCTTTAAAACCCCCCCCCTCTCCAACCCCTTTTTCCCAGGCCGACCCCTACCCCGCCTTCCTTTTCCCCTACAGACGGTTTCACCCTTGAAATCTTTTTGTTTCGCCCCCATTCTTTCACATTCCGAACCACCTCCAAAACCCCCCTCAGCCCCCCTGGACCAAAAAGTTTTGGGAAAAACCCCCCCTCCTCCCAACTTCCCAAAAACGAAAACTCTGCATTTTAATTTACACCACACATTTTTCCCTCAGACATGAAATCTCCACTGCCTCCGCCCTTTTCCCCGCCCGCAAATTCATCAACCCAAAGCTTCACACCCCAAAAAGAGCTTTTGGGAAAACTATACTCTCATACATTCCCCTCTTTGCCTCCAAAGGGCAAAATTCTTTGTCTCCCCAACTTAATGGGACCACTCCCTCTTTTCCCCCCCATCAAATTTTATGATTCACCCCATCTTTCATGACTCATTCCGCTGACACGTTTTCCCCTCCCAAATTTGGGAAAACATTCACCTCCTCCAAATTTCCCTCCCAAACGATATTCAATCTTTCCCCACCTAATCTTTTTGTTATCCCCAAAAACCCTTTCCCTTTTCCTGAATTTTTCCCCCAATTTTCTTCTTTTGCCCCCCTTTTCCCAAATTTTATCCACCAATCTCTGCAATCTCTTCCGAATCTTTCCCCAAAACACGTTCACAGCAAAGGCGCCCCCGTGACCCCCCCCCCCCTTTGGTGTGATTCTTTTTCTTTTAAAATCCAAAGCCTCTTTCCAAAGGGCCCCGCATTTACTTCTCCTACAACCCCATCTATAAAATATTTTTTTAAACAACCACGGTGGGCATCAACATCCCTTTTTAAGGGGCCCACTTTTACTGGGAAAAAAATTTCCCTCTTTTACCCTACTCTAACTTGAGCCTCACTATCCTGTAAAAAACCCTTTTATGCCCTTTTAGTAACCTCCCCCCTACACCATTAAATTGTAACATCTGCCACATTGCCCCCCTATCCACCCTGTCATGCGCCTTTTCCAAATCCATAAATGCTCACCCTTATATCTCTTGTCCTTCATATTGCAACTGTATCTACCTCCTCTTTTTTAATCAGTTCGTGATTTATAGTTTCTGGGTTTGGGTTTTTGGGGATCTCTACGAATATATTTTTCTTGAATTTGGAAGTAGCTCTGTACTCTGTTTTGGACACTCAGAATGCCTTTAGATTTGAATATGGGAAAAAATAGATTTTCTTTTTTCTCAACTAATCAGCCATTTCCCACTGAGGCAGCGTGGGGTAAAAAGAAAAACGAAAGTTTTTCTTTTTAAATTTGTTAATAATATTAGATCTTTCTTTCTTTCAACAAACCTGCCGTATCCCACCAAGGCAGGGTGGCCCAAAAAGAAAAACGAAAGTTTCTCTCTTTAAATTTAGTAATTTAAACAGGAGAAGGGGTTCCTAGCCCCTTGCTCCCGGCATTTTAGTTGCCTCTTACAACACGCATGGCTTACGGAGGAAGAATTCTGTTCCACTTCCTCATGGAGATAAGAGGAAATGAACAAGAACAAGAACTAGAAAGAAAATAGAAGAAAACCCAGAGGTGTGTGTATATATATATGCTTGCACATGTATGTGTAGTGTGACCTAAATGTAAGTAGAAGTAGCAAGATGTACCTGAAATCTTGCATGTTTATTAGACAAAAAAGACACCAGCAATCCTACCATCATGTAAAACAATTACAGGTTTCCGTTTTACACTCACTTGGTAGGACTGTAGTACCTCCCTGGGTGGTTACTGTCTACCAACCTACTTCCTACAATGTTAGATCATCTTCTTCTTTCAACACACCGGCCGTATCCCACCAAGGCAGGGTGGCCCAAAAAGAAAAACGAAAGTTTCTATCTTTAAATTTAGTAATTTATACAGGAGAAGGGGTTACTAGCCCCTTGCTCCCGGCATTTTAGTCACCTCTTATGACACGCCTGGCTTACGGAGGAAGAATTCTGTTCCACTTCTCCATGGAGATAAGAGGAAATAAACAAGAACAAGAACTAGAAAGAAAATAGAAGAAAACCCAGAGGGGTATGTATATATATGCTTGTATATGTATGTGTAGTGTGACCTAAGTGTAAGTAGAAGTAGCAAGACGTACCTAAAATCTTGCATGTTTATGAGACAGAAAAATGGACACCAGCAATCCTACCATCATGGAAAACAATTACAGGCTTTCGTTTTACACTCACTTGGCAGGATGGTAGTACCTCCCTGGGCGGTTGCTGTCTACCAACCTACTACCTAGGAATATTAGATCTATAGGTGTATAATTAATATGTGCTAATTTAGCCTTTTCCGGTATAAAAATAGTTAGTGTCTCATAGTATATTGATTAAGGTTCTTACATTATTAGGTTGTTAATGTTTCATATTAGATAATGACTTTGTAAATAGGTTTTTTATTATTGTATATTTGATTGTAATCTGTAACATACTTACAGGTGATGGTTCGTTCACTGTTCAGTCCGTGTACAGCAGCAGTCAATAGTCCTTCCACAAGTGATGAGTATAATCCTAGTCTTGGTATCATCAAATGTCTCTCTCCTATGCCTGTGTTCATTAACAGGTTGACTGACACATTAACTAAGAAGGTAGATAATGAAAGTAAAGAGAAGCTTCTGGATAGTGAAACACAAGGTTTCAATGTAATCCTTGATAGAAGTGATATGGAATCTGTAGAAGATGATAACTATCAAAAAGCCAGTTGTACTGAAGATAAAATAAGGGACAAAATACCTTGTGAAATGGATAATAAATACCCCCTGGACACTACACCAGAAGTTGGAAAAATATGTAATGCTAAAAGGCCTGAGAGAACAAGTACACCAGTGTCAGTAACACCACAGTCAAAAACCTCTTTATTGCCTCGGCATTTGGTACTTTCTGATGATTTACCAGAACTTTTAGAGCACTATGAGAAGGCTCAGATAACTCAAGTGATGCAGACCCCTGAGAGAAATGTGAACGTAATAGAGCGTGAGCACACTGATGACCTGGGTATGTTGGGGGAGTTGGATGCTGCAGAAGATTCAGGTAAACTAAGTCAGAAGCCATTTGATCTGATTTGTTCACCTGTTAAAAAGGTGAATTGTAGGAAGAGTGTTGAGGTCATAAATAGTGATGCAAGACAGAAGCTTTTGAAAGACCTAAATGCTTCTAATACCCAAAAGGTAAAAATTGTGAACAGTGATACAAATATAAAGAATCCAGATGGTGAGGAACAGCTCTTCAGTACTAGAAATATAAAAGAAATAAGGGAAACCAAAAGCCAGGTTTTAAAAAACCCGAGATAATTTAAAAAGTAAATCTTTCCCAAATAAATTTATAACCCCCACCCGCAATAAAAACTCCACCACAAACAAAAGGGAAAAAGATAAAATAGATCAAGTAAAAAAAATTATAAAGGGAAAAAGGGAGAGAAAAAAAAAATCAGTGAATTAAAGGAAAAATTGAAAAAAAAAAATGTACCCGAAAACGAAAGTTTTTCTCAGAATTGAAAAAAGACCTGAAAAAAACTGGGGTGTCTATTAAAAGTAAACACGTCCCCGGATCCTTTTTTATCACCTCTATTTAAAAAAAAAACCCAGCAATTAAAACCTGAACCCAAATCATGAATTTTACCCCTTTAGTGATTCAACTGAAAGTGTTAAAAGAAACTTACCAATGCCTTCAGAAAACCCCTTTCAAAACTAAAGCATTTTGAAAAAATTTGCTTTACGAGAAAAAAATATTCCCGGGGAAATTTTTGTTTCCTTCAAAATCGAAGAAAGTTCTGAGAAAAATGAAAAAAGAAATAAAACAGAAACAATTGGGCTTTATTGGGAAAGGGCTAAAAAAAAACCCTTGTTTGAATCTGAAATACCAACTTCTAAAACAGTCAAATCTAATACAGGAAAGTCACCACTAAAACTTTTGACTGACATTCATAATATTGCTAATAAACAGCAGAATTTCCTTTCTCTTACAAGCCTTGAGAAAGATGCAAGATTTGAAACTAATGTTATTCCTTTATTAAACGAGAAGACGTATTCTCATTTAGGCAAGGAAAAAGAGAATTCATCAAGTTCTGGAAACCAAGAGGTGCCTCTAAACCAGGAAAAAGTTGAAAACCAGCAAAGTAGTTCAAGAATATTGTCTGTTACCTCACTGGGTGCCAGGAATGCTGTAAGTAATAAATCTGTGCTTAAATTGGATCACTCATTTGAGGAACCATGTGAAAAATTCATAGAGGAAAGATTCACCATAAATACAGACCTTACCATTAACATTCATGATACTAACAAAATCTCTGAAGATTTGACTAAAATGTTTGATGATAAACAGAAGAAGGGCGAAGAAACTCGTACGCTCATTTCTGAGCTTCAGGTTGTGCCTCAGAGAGAGCTAACTAAAGAGTGCGCTTCACCTGTTTCATCACATAATGATGTGCATCTAAAGAATGATCACCTGATTTCAAAGCAGGTTTTAATGCAGGTAGGGTCTAGTCAGATCATGGATGACAGCCTTAATGATGTTTACTTTTCAGAGTTAGACATAAACTCGTGTGTTCCAGTAATGGGTGACAGAGATACCAGGAAGACTGATAAAACAAAACATTCCTGTGAAGCCAGCCTTCAAGTTATTGGTGCTACAAGTAGCAAATGTACTGTAGAGAGTGGTGAGAGGCATGTAAATGATGGCTGGGATAAAAAAATGTCTGGTTTTTATACTGGCCAAGGAAAGCAAATGAAACTGAGCAAAGAAGCCTTGGAGCATGCAAAGGAGTTGTTGGAGGAGTCTTCATGTGATAAATCATCAAAAGATGTTTTTAGAACCCCTAACAATGAATGTATTCCTTGTGACTCCCTTGATAGAGTGAATGCAAATGATGAGAATCATCAGGTCATAGCTTTACAATCCATGAACACAAACTTTCCTGTAGTATGTGGCTTCATGACTGCTAGAGGTTCAAGAGTGACAGTCAACCCAGCAGCCTTGGAGAAAGCAAAGAATTTGTGGAAAGAGGAAAATTGTGCTACAGTGTTTAATGCAGAGAATGTTGAAGTAAATGTTACAGAATATTCCAAATGTTTAAACCAAACCTTAAGAAATGTTTCAGAAAGTGTGTATGATGGCTTGACAAGGGATAGAGGTATTATACAAGTTCAAAATGAATCTTTGCCAAGTAGGTCTTTTGAAGTTTGCCCTGACAAATCTAAAGATAATTTAGATTCTAAAATATCAGATGCAGTAAGAAATAATATCCATCACTCTAGCCCTTTAGTTAATAAAAATGAGCCTATTAGTGCACTTAATGAAAAATTAAGTAAGGGTGAATTTCAAGGCTTTTCTACTGCTTCAGGATATAAAGTTAATATTAGCAGTGAGGCTTTAAAGAAGGCTCAGTTACTGTGGGAGGAAAATAATAGGGATGATGATCATGAAGAAAATCATCTTACTATAAACAGAGATAGGAATCCTAGACACAGAAGTAATCTACACGACTTATTGAAGTTACAAGAATGTGGCAAAATTTGTTGTACTAAGCCTACTGTCAGAATTGAGAAGCAGATTTCAGTGTGTTCAGAAGGAAATTTAAATGTGAAAGGAGGAACTGGGAAAAGTGGGTATAATAGCACTTCACCCAAGTTCAAAAACAGTGAAGGTCAAGATACAAAATTTGGCAGTTGTTTATTAGAAGCTGAAAATTTGAGCTGTGTGTACTCTGATCTAGTTGATGATGTTGTGTTAGAAAAAAGCATAAGAAGCAATATGAAGCCCAAATTAAAAAATGACAGTTCTCCAGTGTCTCATTCAGATCAAGACTGTGTTGCATGTATTTCACATGAAGCTACTAACACAGATCATGTTAATGACTCTGATGAAAGACACCAACAAACAGAAGAGAAAAATTTACCCAGTTTTAAAACAGCAGGTGGAAGAAGAATATCAGTAAATGAAACAGCTCTTGTTAGAGCCAATAAACTCTGGGATGAAAGTAACCGTAATGAAATAGGAGCTGGTAATGTTACTCTCTATCCAGATGAGAAAACAGAATTAATTTTAAGCAGCAGAAATGAAACCTTGGGAAAGGAGGCAAACGTTTCTGCTAACCAAGCAGAGGAAAACACACATGATTTGAATAACACCAGTGCAGTTGGGAATGCCATGTCATCGCTAACAAAACAGATAAATAAACCACTTAATAACACTTGGGATGAACCTGAACCATTTGGATTTTCTAAACCAGAATGTACTAAAATTAGTCTCAATTCAGATCCATTATATGCAGTTCCAAGTTTTGCAACCGGCCGAGGTAAGCAAGTTCTTGTAAGCAAGGAAGCTCTTTGTAAAGCTAAACAAATTCTTAGTGAAGACCTGCTAGCATCTGATGTGAGAGAAGTGAGTATTTTCACACAGGAATTTACCTGTAGTAAGAAATCCATAATGAAATTTGAAGGCTTTTCAACAGCTGGTGGTAACAAAATGCATGTTAGCCAAAGTGCTTTAATAAAGGCTCAGAAATTTCTGACAGAGGAGAATGTTGATGAAAAGCAGATAAATATTGAGTCAAAAAAGGAAACATCAAGTAATAAATGTAACATTAAAAATTACAGTGTACCATCAGCTGGTATAATTGGGCATTTAGTCTTGGGTAATAAAGTTGAGTCCAGCAATAGTGCCTATAGGGAAACAGAAACTATTCCACCTCTCTTGGCTCACTTTAGTGAAAGCAGAGAAATTCGGGGAACTGGAAAGCATATTATGGAAGAAAATGTTTTAAGTGATACACCCCAAGATCATACCCTGGAAGCAAGTGTCGTAAACATATTAGTTAATGAAACAAGGAAGACAGACGAAAATAATGATGCTTCTAAAGGAACAAGACAAAATCTCTCGGGAAAGACAAAGTTAAGCTCATCTGCGGAAACACCTGACCTACAACTGCTGATAGAAAATAAAATTAAAAATGATTTTGGTAAAGACACTCCCAACATCTTGAAGGTGTTAAAAGAAACAAACTGTAGAACAGAAAATGGTACAGAAGAAAGCAGTGATACACCATTTATTAATGCTGAAATGAATGGATCTTCATGTATAAATAAGAGCATTTCAAGAACTCCCGAGTCTTATGGAATAAGGAATAAATTTGTTGACACAGGAGAAACAAAAGATTACACACAAACAAGTTCCTCTACTACATTAGTTTCACAGAAACCAAACTGGAAAGATAGAACTAATTATGTTGATGATCAGTCAGTAGTTAATAAGAACACACCAGCTCAGCAACACTCTTAAGTCTTCTATATCACCACCATTAAATAAAAAAATTACAAGTGCAACCCTAAAAAAAAACATTTTTTTGTAACCACTTTTCAGGGTCCAAGGCCAAAATCTGAAAGTGGTGCTCCTAGTGTCCAAGAAATTTTGAAAAAAAAAAAAATTATTTTTTCTTACAGAATTAAAGAGCATATTTTTGTGAAGGTAATAAAACAAAAAAAATAAAAATCTGATCAGTTCCTTTTACCGAATTACAGAGTGCCAAGAAGTTTTTTGTAAAAAATTATGTGGTGGCAGCAACATCGACGAATTCCACATACACGCATTACATTATTTTGTGGTTTTAGTTGTTTTTTTCTTTCAATATGAAATATTCCGCGATATTCTTCTTCCGCATTCTATAACATTTGCGGCCTGAGAGACCAATACTGTATATAATGTATATATATATAAAAAAAAAAACTTCACTGTAGTGACACAATAACCGCACTAAAGTTATTATCATAATTAAATTGTTTTACCCACTGTTGTTTATTACAATAAACATGCACAAATATTGTATAATACTAATGTTTCATCAATAATATTTACATATTTACAATCACTGGACATGTTATTAGAACTGCTGGAGCTTGTGGGAACTCCATGAAACAAGGCAACCATGCACAGAGGCAACCTTACATGTCCTCACACATAAACCGAGTGTCTTGCATCTTGTTGCCATCGTTTTGTTTGTGGCACAGACAATGCATCTCTGTCGAGCAAATTTCTTCTGATATTTGAAGGAACTGTATTATGAAATGAATCACCTTCTCTCCTCAAACGCTTGGGTATATTGTGATGAATTCGAGACCATGTTGTATGCAGGTGTTGTTAACACTGGTACTTCATTATGATTGGTCTGACAACAGACAAACAAAAATTCACCATTACTACGGTGGGCTGTTACCAGTCTTTATTTGGTACATATTATATCATCAGCATTGAAATGTCCATGAGATGAAGAAAAGTTTTTTCTGTACGCACTTGTAACTCTTACGAATACAGTCAACAAAACCAATCTGCATGTCACACTTGTCGACCAGTGCATGTTTTGTGTATAATCAATCACTGACACTGGTTTTTCGAATACGTTCATTATCACTCGATCAACTTTGCCACTGCCCATGCAGTTCATTACGGTGGAATGGTTGTCAAACAATGTGACATCTCGTTTGTCATGCCACGTAATGCCAATGATGTCATTGGCAGAAAACACCTGCACGTCATCACCACGACACCTGAGTTGACCTGAAGCATATTTTACGATTAGAACGCACCTGTGCCCACACACATCTGTCTTGTTCACACTACGCATGATAACACTGAGTAATTGGCATGTGTACCAGTTTATCGGTAATTAATGTATGGCCCATACAACGATAAGGTGCCATCATGTTTCTCACTACGTCACACTGAGATACCCAATAACATCTTGGCATCTTTCAATGTTTTACATACCCCGGTATACAACAATATCCAACACCGGCCACTGTCACAATCACAGAGTACAAACAATTTTATACCAAAGCGGTTCCTCTTGCTCGGTAAATACTGCTTGAATGACAGCTAACCTTTGAACAAAATCAAAGACTCGTCAATTACATGATTCATTGAATGGATAAAAGATTATAATCACAGAACTTTTTTTGAGATACAGAAACAATACTAAACTTGTATAGAACTGTTCACTTCTGTCAGCCTGGTTTTGTCAAGAAGTGCACATTACGTAACAGTAAGATAAACCTGTTCACTGGTATTCTTTCAACTGAAGGATGGGGTACAAATTTAGCCGATCTGGTGGACCAGTAATGCTTTATTATTATGCTTATAGACGGTGAGGCATAAGCATTATTGTTGGCAAAAAGCAAATACATTTCTGCAACAAGTCCGTCTCTTTTTCCACTGTGTAGTCTTGACTTTGGTGATAAATCCTATTAGCCATGTGTACTGAAAATACTTAGTACTTTTCCCTGCAATATTTCCATCAATGCTGGTCAAAGAATAATTCAAAAATTCGCAGTTTCAGTGGCCGTGGTTCCAAGGGACAGGTAGGTAGAATTCCACTTTGAGAGTCAATAAAGTGTGAGGGCTGGGACAACAATTGGGATTTTTGCTGCAAATCCAGATACGGTTTGCTGGTGGATACTGGACATCATAGCTGGTTGTACGGTGGTTGTGTTGTGGCGGGCTGGTGGTTTGACGCTTCAGCTTTGGTCCTTGAACTGACGAGTCAGCAGCGTGGGTCCCGCTTGGCAGAGCCACAGTGAGTCACGCAGGCGGTGCCACTACCACCGACCAGCACCACTACACCATCCACTAGCCTGTGGCCCATCCTTCCAAGTTAGCCACATCATGCCTCACATATCACTACCCTAAACGGGTGTAGGGCCATGGGATTACTGCCTGGGATGTACTCCGGGATGTACTCTGTCCCCTGGCACAGCAATAGGGTACACTACCCCGAGCGCATGCGGACGGCGAACATACCGACGCTTCACTAGGTGAATATGTTTCCTCACTATCACTACTCGAATGATCGCGTTGAGCGCAATAAAAACACAATCCCACGTCAGAATCATCGTCATTAACTGAAGTTCAGGGGCCTGCCACGGGAAAAATAAAGTTTTTCCTCTTACGTTTTAGGAACACCCGACCGTGAGTCACAGTGCCCCACACCAAGGTAGAAGGTCGAGGATCGTTCGGGGGTTTTCTTCTGCACTATTATCGATAATCCTGGTCATTATTTTCGGTCACTAACTTATCAAAGCCGTAGAATTCCGTCTTCATATTTCCACTTCCATCAGTGTCAAGAAGAACTATCAGACAGGAAGAGGAGAGTCCATTTTCCGGGGAGTGAGAGCTGACTTGCGACAGGCATGTGAACAAGGGTGAATGAGCCGCCGTTCCTCACAATGCATGCAGAGCCCTAGGATTTTTTTTGTATGGCGCACACCCACGGCGCAGACCCATTCTCGTCACATGTAGGCCTAGAGCGCTTTTCGCTCTAAATTTGACGGCGCTGGAAATTTGGGTGGGGGGGCATAGATCTACGTTTTGGACACTCACCGAAAAGCCGTAGATCTACGAGATGGACCCTGAAAGGGTTAAAGGTAAGTGTTGATTTCCCATGGATATGATGGGAAAATCCTATTTTCTAAATTAATTCATATGTAAGGGAAATTCTTTTCTTGAGATCCTTCCAGAGACAAAACAAATGTGGTGATCCACATGTCTTCTTCCCAATTTTTTTTTTTTAACTCAATGGCTTTCCTCCCACCAAGGCAGGGTGACCCAAAGAAGAAAACACATTCACCATCATTTATTCTATCAGTATCTTTCCAGAAGTGTGCTGCCATCACAATCAATATCTTCTAACTGCAACATCCCCACTCCATTTCAGATTTCCAGGCATTGCCCCTTACTCCTCCAGGACTTCAGTGGCAAATTGGTTTCCCAGAATCCTACTTCAAATTTACTGGCTCACACTCCTACAGCACATTCAGTAAAAACCACTTCTCGTCCACACAAGCCTAATAGGTGCTTCAAGCCCATGAATCTCAAAACCACTTTAAACCCCCCCTTTCCTTGATTTTTTTTTTTTAACAATACAGCCATTCTCCCACCGAGGCAGGGTGATTCCAAAAAGAAAGGAAATCCCCAAAAAGAAAATACTTTCATCATTCAACACTTTCACCTCACTCACACATAATCACTGTTTTTTTGCAGAGGTGCTCAGAACACAACATTATGTGTATGATTTCTGGTCAGCCTTCAAATTACACTGAGCCTTCAAAATTTAATTGTTGCTCCATCCTTCCACCCTCCACTCTGTGTGTGGGTGTGGTTGGGTAGAGTGTTTTAGTTTACCATTTGTACTGTACTAGGCACATGTCGAGTAGACACTAAGGCCTGCTATATATGCAAGCATATGTGGTGTGTGTGTCCCCGTGTGTGCCGTGTTAGTCATTCTAAATACGTTTGCTCAAGTCAACCTTAATGTGTGTGCTGTGTGGGGGGGGGGAGGGGTTGTGTTTGGTTGAGTGTGTGTGGTGTGTGGTGTGTGTGGGTGGTGTGTGTGTGTGGTGTGTGTACTCACCTATTTGTACTCACCTATTTGTGGTTGCAGGGTCGAGTGCTAGCTCCTGCCCCGCTCTTCACCGGTTGCTACTAGCCTCTCCTCTCCCCGCTCCATGAGCTTTATCAAACCTCAGTCTTAAGAACTGTGTATGGTTCCTCCTCCACTACGTCATTTTCTAGCTATCCACTGCCTTACCAAAAACTCCCCCAATGACTGAAGAAAATACTTCCTACATCTCTCTGACCATTTGTGGTCTTCAACTTCCAATGTGGCCTCTTGTTTCTGTGTCCCCTCCCTGAACATCCTGTCTTTGTCCACCTTGTCCTTTCCACGCAGTATTTATATGTTCCTTATCATGTCTCCCCTGACCCTCCTGTCCCTCCAGTGTCGTCAGGCCGATTTCCCTAATCCTTCTTCATAGTAGCATTCCCCTTAGACCCTGGAACGAACCTTGTCGCAACCTTTGTACCATTCTCTAGTTTCTTGACGTGCTTTATCAAGTGCGGGTTCCAAACCAGGTGCCTGCATACTCCAGTGATGGGCCTGACATACACGGTGGTACAGTGTCTTGAATGATCCTTACTAAGGTATCCGGAATAGCTGTCTCAGTTTGCAGGCGCCCATATGCTGCAGCAGTTAACTGATGATGTGGTTCTTCCGGAGTCATGCACGTGATATACTCACCCCAAGATTTTCCCTTGAGTGAAGTTTTGCAGTCTTTGGCCACATAGCCTATACTCTGTCTGTGTCTTTCTGTGCCCTTCCCCCTGTCCTCATGACTTGCATTTGGGCAGGATTTAGAAATCGAGAAGCCATTTGCGGACCAGTGTGTCCTGTCTGTCCAGGTCCTCTTTGAAGTCCTGGCCTGTCCTCAACAGATTAATC